CTATCGATAAAAGTTGGTCATATGACCTACTTGATAAAAGTTGAAGAGTTTTTTGAAATCTATCAGAAAAAATGATAATATAGAGGGTGTGCCATCTAAAAAACTTCTGATTTTTTAATTTTAAGTAGTTGAAATTCATAAATATATTTTGAACACCCTGTAGCATCTAACTAAAATATCTTTACATATATCATTTTCTTCATATCTATAAAACTCTTCTACCAAATTTTAGTAGTTACTTCATAAACAATTATTGCATCACTGACAATTTTTTACCACACTGAAATATTATATTTGTTTGACAAATTCAAGTATTACAAAAACTTTTAATTTTAGGTAGACAACACTATATATAAAAAAGTTATAGAATTTTACGCAGAATCTAAAAATAAAATAAAAAATAGGGTGTTCCATTTAAAAAGACATACAGGGTCCGGCAATAGTGCGTCGGGCATCTGTAGCTCCTAGAAAAAAAAAACTTAAAAAAAGACTAAAAAATTTGTGTAAGTACGTAGGTTCCTAAAGTCAGGGTTGCCAGATGAAATTTGACGCGTGTCGCAGAACTCAAAGTTTGAAGATAGCCCAATGTCGCAGATTTTGCCAAACCTTGAAAATAGCCCAAAATCGCAGATCAAAAATAATACATGACTCTTTCATCGTTTTTTTTGTGACTTTATTAAAAGGCAGCTGTTAAGATAGCCCAAAGTCGCAGATTTTGCCAAAAGCAGTAAAACCTGTTTTGAAAAGTGGGGTAAAAGGAAAAAGAAGAACTAAAGAGAAATAATTATTAAATTTTGGTTAATATAATATTATGATCATTGAACAGCATATTTAGATTAATATGCAGTGCCTAAATATCATATACAAACGAAAGGGGCATAAGAGGGCATAGGAAAGGGGGTGATTTTTTGGCTCTTTGACATAGGTATTTTATGGCTAAAGTTTTTTATATGCCTCAGAAGAAGATCATAAGCATCGACATACGTCTCGGTGTTGAGGTTGTACTTTGTTTGGCCGATTATGCCGTTGCCCCAAGCAACAATGGGCCATTTCAACTTTCGAAGAAGAAGAAGCTAACCTAAAATATATTTCCTTTGTAGCCCAAAAAATCCCAGAAAATTTTTGAGAATCGCCCAATCTGCGACTAGTCGCAGGAAGATAAAATGTGTCCCAAAATGATTTTTAAAGTAGCCCAATCTGCGATAAGTCGCCCAATCTGGCAACTCTGCCTTATCTACTGGGATGTATTTCAGGAAAATATTTTAACTTCTCTAGGGTGGCTCAAAAATATATGAGTGGATCGGGATGATTTGTTTTAAATGGAACACCCTGTATATTATTGCATTTTTGGCTTAGAATAAAAATTGGTGTCTGGGAGTTTTTTGAAATGAGAAATTTGATTTTGATGTCAATATGACCCTATACTTGTAGAGGGAGCCACCTACATATTTTGTAACTGGTTTGAAGAATAATAACTTTTCGTCCATATCTGTATAAAACTACTGAGTAAAAAATATACATTTAGGACGTAAAAAAGGTCTCTTTGTAAAAATCGCTACGAGTAATGATTAACGAGTAACCTATCAACATTGAAATAAATTAAGCATGTTGACTAAATAGTTATTAGACTGAAATCATAAATATGAATTTTTTTTGTGCCAAAAGTTCAACAGAAACTGTTTTATCATCACGTTTGGCTGAAAAATTTATAATTAACTTAAAAAAATAAAAATTTCCCAAATTTATTATTTCAGTCAAAAAACTATCTACTCAACGTATTTATTTTTTGTCAATAATGACATGTATTGACTATTTCCACGCTAATTATTTTGAGAACAGTTGCTCGTAGCGATTTTTACCAAGAGACATTTTTTACGTAAAAGATGACGGAAATGTATATTTTTTTACTCGATAGTTTCATACCCGTACGGACGAAAAGTTATTACACTTTAAAACAGTTAAAACACACATAGGGGACGCCCCATACAAATAGGAGTCATATTGACATCAAAATCAAATTTCTCATGTCAAAAACCTCTCAGACATCAATTTTCATCCAAGTATCGACGTTACTTCAGAAATTATCTGGAAAAAATCGAAATAAAAATGAAACTTCTACACCCTGTATCTTTTAAACTAAGCATTTTAGGACATATATTTATACGAACTTTTTTACTTATTTTTATCTGCAGAATATTTTGCCGAAGTTTCCGGAATAACAGTTCGGACCACCCTGTATAATAATACAATCATTCAAGTGACATTTTCAACATGTTTTTAAAAACACATATATTCCTAGAAATAATTGCGAATTTCGTTATTTTATGAACTATGTAAGTAAACGGTATTTTGCGATATTCGCATTTCGCAATTGGCGTTCCTCATGTAAAAATAAGATTTATTCTTCATATCAGCATAGGTCCGATTCTGATTTGTTTCGTAGCTACAGGCTATTAAAGTCTTAATAATATTTCGATTTATTATAATTTTCTTCCAAATACTTTTAGTGATTAGAATGAAATTTTGAGGGTAAAAGTTTCTATAAGTGCTACATATTTTATTGTCGATAAATTCATCAATTCGTTTTTCAATAAAATACATGTGCGCCACTGATTTTTTTCTCTTGATATCAAAATTGTGTACCATTTTAGATACCAATTAAAAGTTATATCTTGATATTTTATGGAATTCGGCAACCTTGATGAGATAAACGCAGTCTTATTAATCACAATAATTAATAAAACTAAAATAAAAATAAAAATAATAAATTATATATTTTACCTAATTTATTATTAAATATTATTACTATTAGTATTAGTCCAACCTACAGCAATTTCAAATAAAAAAATAATGATATTTAAGATAATTTTTAAAAGTTTTAACATCCTGTAACTCTAAAACTATGCATTTCCATACCCATGTTTATAGGAACTTTTTTCATATTTTTTGATGAGGATTCAACGTGTTCTTGTTTAAAACTTTTTCAAGTTAACGATAAGAACATCTTTTAAAAAGTTGCTATTAGACTTGAATCAAGGCAAATTAATAAAAATGCGTTTATCTCATAAAGGAGGCCGAAATCGACAAAATATCAAGAGACAACTTTTAATCGGCATTAAACTGCTTATACCATTTCGCTAACAAAATCATAAAAAAAATCAGTGGCGTACATTCTTTTTTTAGAAATATATTCCAGTGATAACCCATATGCAAGTCTTTGATGAATTTATCGACAATAAAATATGTAGCACTTATAGTAACTTTTACCCTCAAAATTTCATTCGAATCACTAAAAGTACTTGGAAGAAAATTATAACAAATCGAAAGTTTATTAAGACTTCAACATCTTGTAGCTACGAAACAAAACAGAATCTATGTTGATATGATAAAATCTATGTTGATAGGACCTATGTTGATATGAAAAATAAATCCCAAGCAGCATTTGGACGTCGGGACAACGTTGTGTCACGCGACCAAACGTCGGGGCGCAAAGTCGGCACAACCTCGTGCCAACCCTAGTCTGCATTAGTTTGGAGAATAATTTTTGGGTCGAAACGACGTTAGATACCGACGTTGGCTAGAAGCCTAATTTAGTACAAACTGCAACGTTGTTTGAAATCCTAATTTACAGAAATACAAAACTATTATGGCGTCTAAGTCGCGTTTTATCCTAAATTGGGATAATTATAGTAAAAATATTATTTTTATGATTCAGTTAAGAGACATATGTCAGATGACAGTGAAGGAAAACAAAAGCATTTAAGTGTGGAGGATGTTTGAAGATCATAATTATTGAAACACTTTAACCGACTGTGTAACTCGTTACCCAAGGCAAAAAAGTTAAACGCAAACAACTTTATTGATAAATGTATTGTTTCTACTTTGAAAAATACTAATGGGCCTTAAAATTAAAGAAGTTTTAAAAATTTTCTTGAATTTTTTTTTTTTTAGTAAAATGAGAATAATTTATTCGCAGTCGAAAAAATTGTTTCCGCGTGTTTTTTAGGGTCAAATATTTCAAGTTAATGTATTCAAAAAGCAGGAATTGCTATTTTAGGAACGAAACATTTTCTTATTTAACAACATGGCGGCTTTCACTTTGTTGTTTTGGAGATTAAGATGGAGTAGTTCGAGTAGTCGCATACTGGACTAATAAAGTCGCAGTTCGGCCTTAACAGGTAGTATACTAGTCGCAAGATTGCCTAATTTAGTCATCCTAAAGTCTAGCTTGTGCCGACCTCTATAATATAAATAAACGAGGGAGTGGATAAACTATCGGTAATATATGTCGATGTATATTTAAATTTAGTTTTATATGTACCTTTCTTATGTCCCTTTTTAATTAAGTTTTTTTTATAAAAACAAAAACAGCACTGAACTGTCTGACTGAACAGAACAATGAAGTGAAAATTTAAAATTTAAGGTTATGGTTCAATACAGTTGCAAAAAGGTAGTGACTCGACGTCCTACCAACGTAAGAATAAGGAAATCTAAACAACGTTGGAATCAGTAAAACAGACGCGTTTGCATAACGTTGAATAGGTCCTGAAACTGACGTCGGAAAACTCTATATTGTCCAACGTTGTAACTACGTTGTCCGAATCACCTAAAGATCACTTAAGCAAAAAAGGTTACAAGACAACGTTTATTCGACGTCGCAGAAGCTTCTACTTTGCTGTAGCACTAGTCCAACGTCGGCACAACGTTATAAAAACGTTTAAATTTATTTTAATACCAAAGGTAGGGAGGTAACTATTTTGTGTAACTAATCCAACGTTGTGTTTAGTAAACATGTGGTAGCAAGTCGTGAAAATGCTACTTGGGATCTTATTTTTACGTGAGGAATCACCCCACAAGAGATGGCACATGTTTTTTGAAACACCCTGTATAAAATTCGCGTCTACCGTTAATCTGTCATCGCGCTCCACCTAAATATTTTAATATACCTCTTCCTTAATCTTTTATAGAATTAGAATTAATTCGATGGCTTTTTATTTCAGAACAAACGTCCTCGAACGGTACTTCAACAAGGACTTCACGCTAGTCCTGCCGGAAAATAAGAAAATCACCGACATCAAGTGGCTGGCGATCTACGACATCTGGTCCCAGAACACCTTCGGCGACATCTACATTCCGGAAGAGTTCGAACCGCCCACGACCCAAAAGATTTCCCAGTTGACCGGAAGGACGAACTCGATCAGTACGATAACGGTGGAAATTTTGGACGCCAAGCAAATTAAACTGGTCGGATTTACCTACGATGGGAAGGCGTCGGGCGCTTACTTTTGGGTGGGCGTCGGGGCCCAACCTGTGGCCAAAGGAAATAAAGTCCCGGACGAACACGGATAGTAAGTTTTGAGACTAGAGTTTGACTGTATTGAATCTAGCTATCTTCCAATAACTGCTTCAATGGATTGATTGTTTTTATCTGGGTCCCAATTCTGGATATGTAATAAAGGGTAATACCTACCTAGTATATGCATTGTTGGCTCTGATTTAATACGCCTTTTTTATTTTTTTAAACTAGAATATTTATCCAAGTCCCATTATCTTGTTTGTTTTGAGGTTTACAAAAAATATTAAATATAAAAGTTCTAGGGAAGATTAAGATAAATAGTTTAAAATTATTATAGAATATACAGGTTGCTTCAAAAAAATGTGGCGGATATAACATATGTTTTTTTTAAATGCAATACCCTATTTTTATTTTAGGTTATGCATAAATGTATATCTTTAAATGCATAGTTTTGGAGATACAGGGTGTAGAAGTAGTCATTTTTATTTCGATTTTTTCCAAATAATTTCTGAAGTAACGTTAATATTTGGATGAAAATTGGTGATTGGGAGTTTTTTAACATGAGAAATTTGATTTTGATGTCAATATGAGTCCTACTTGTAGAAGGCGCCTCTGAACTGGTTTGAAGAGTAATAACTTTTCGTCCGTACCTGTATAAAACTACTGAGTAAAAAATATACATTTATGACGCTTTTTACGTAAAAAATCTCTATGAGTAATGGTTCTCGAGATATTTGGAATCGAAATTATCAATATCTGTCTTCATTGACATAAATTAAATATATTGACTAATTAGTTATTAGACTGAAATCATAAATTTGAAATGTTTTTGTGCCAAAAGTTCAACAGAAACTTTTTTATTATCGTTTTTTCGAAGAAAAATTTATGATTAATATAAAAAAATAAAAATTTCCCAAATTTATCATTTCAGTCAAATAACTATCTACCCGACTTGTTCATTTATTGTCAATAATGACATGTATTGACTATTTTCCGTACTAAATATCTTGAGAACGGTTGCTCGTAGCGATTTTTACCAAGAGACATTTTTTACGTAAAAAATCACGAAAATGTATATTTTTTTACCCAATAGTTTTATACAGGTACGGACGAAAAGTTATTTTTCTTCAAAACAGTTAAAACACGTGTAGGTGGCGCCCACTACAAATAGGAGTCATATTGACATCAAAATCAAATCCTAGATACCAATTTTCATCTAAATATTGGCATTACTTCAGAAATTATCTAGAAGTCTTTTTTGTCAATAATGACATGTATTGACTATTTCCACGCTAATTATCTTGAGAACAGTTGCTCGTAGCGATTTTTACCAAGAGACATTTTTTACGTAAAAAATCACGAAAATATATATTTTTTTACCCAATAGTTTTATACAGGTACGGACGAAAAGTTATTTTTCTTCAAAACAGTTAAAACACGTGTAGGTGGCGCCCACTACAAATAGGAGTCATATTGACATCAAAATCAAATTTCTAATGTCAAAAAACTCCCAGATACCAATTTTCATCTAAATATTGGCATTACTTCAGAAATTATCTAGAAAAAAATCAAAATAAAAATGAAACTTCTACACCCTGTATCTCCGAAACTAAGAATTTATACCAACTTTTTTACTTATTTTTATCTGCAGAATATGCTGCCGAAATTTCCGGAATACAATTCGGACCACCCTGAATACAATACAATGTTGTTTATTTTTTAGCTTAGATCCTCTTAAAGCATACAAAAACAAAACTATTACCTTAGAGCTACCCGGAGATCTCACAATTTTCAATATAGACTGGTTCAGTATATTCGACAAAGACACTAACACAAACTTGGGTTCAATTATTATTCCAGAAGCACTAAACGTTCCTCCTTCTTTGATAAAAGTTATCGTAAGTAAACATTATCGTATTCTCTTACACGCATAACTAAACTTACAACATTTATATATTTCAGCCGCAGAAAGATGATCTTCCCAACTGTCTCCAACTGCACAAAGATTTTCAAGTATCCTGGGAAATATTTGGACCCCAAATTACCATCCAGCTTTCGGGAATGGTGGACGAGGACGAGTACATGGCGTTCGGAATATCGGGATCCCCAGAGCAGAGTCAGATGTTAGGGGCTGACATTGCCGTTGCCTATATCAATGGATATCAAGGATACGCGACGGATTATAATATTACAGCATTAACACCGGTAATAGATAATATACAGTATATCCCGGATTGTCTTTAGAATAGGAAAATCTTTTTTATTATTGAAATTTTGAAAAAAATGCATTCTTCATAAAAAAATTTGCTTGTTCTAAAATAGTCCCGTAAAAAATCCCGTTAAAGGTTGATTCTTACTATACCTTCCGTTTACAGAAAATATTATATCATGTAAATGAATAGGACAATGCATACTATCCGTTCCGTTTCCCTTCCGTTTCAAATCCTTTTCTTCCATACATTGTTTTTGGCGGACCGACTGAAGCTTATCGGAAACATTTTTTTTTTATAGATGAGAAACGCCATTTACAGCCAGAGTGTGGGGGTCACCTCTCACCCGAGTCATACCCACTAAAAACCCAACTGTAGAGTTAACTCTCCAATCTCGGAACCGCCTTGCGGCATTACTTCAAGACTGGAGATTGTTTCGCCACTTATGTCTGTGTCTGCCAAATTTTTATCTTTTCATCTTCCTGTTTTTTAAGCATGATTGCTCTCATCATCCTGGTGATTGCTTCACAGTTCTCTCTATTTTCCATCATAAGCTCGCCGACATTTTCCCTTGTTATAATAATGTGTGATTGGCCGTGTCTGATGCTTCACAATACCAGCATTTTGTGGATTCCGCCTTAGTTATTCTAAACAGGTACTCTCCAAAAGCACCGTGCCCTGTCATCGCCTGGGTGATGTAGTAGTCCGTTTTTGTCCACGTGTTATTTATCCAAACCCTCACGTCCGGGATAAATATCTTAATTCGACCCTGGTATGCCTCCCATCTGTTCTGTCATTTGTCCAGTATTATCTTTCTGGCCTCTGATCGATACCCTGAGCCGTGCCTGTATATTAAATTTTTTTCCTCGATTTGTAGGATAATTGGGGGGATTTTTGCTAGAGCGAGAACAGCTTCTGTGGAAACTGTACGATACGGCGACACTACGCGTAGGGCTAGCATTCTGTTAATTTTCTCAAGGACTTTTTCATAGTATTTATAGTCTGTTGCCCTGCTCCAAATGGGCGAGGCGTACAGGATCATCGAATGCACAACCGAGGCAAGCATTCTCCTCTTTTCGTCACTGGGGCCTCTAATATTGGGGGTGATTCTGGTCAGCTGTTTGATGGTATCAACCGTCCTGTCCCTGATTTTAAGGACATGTGTAGTCATGTGCATCCCCGAATCAAGCCAAACGCCCATATATTTTATTGCCTTTTGAGGTCTGATGTGGCAATTTCCCAATTGGATATTTAAGTTCATCGTCTTTCGATGTCCTACCATAACGACTAGTTCTGATTTTTCTGGTGCCAGATGTATGTCCATTCTATCCAACTTATTGGTTATAGTTAGGGCAGCTGTTTGTATCTTTTCTTCGAAGATAGTGATGGTCGGAGCGGTGATCAGGACAGCCAGATCATCCGCATAAGCAATCAGTAGATTACCTGGTCCAATATCGACCCTCAGGATCTGGTCATAGAAGATGTTCCACAAGGTCGGTCCTAGAATGGACCCCTGCGGTACCCCGCACGTCATCTTGTGTTTTTTGCCGTTTTCTGCAATTACATATCTTTTTGACAAGAAAGACTTAATCATAACGATGAGGTATTTACTGATCTTTATGCTCCCTAATTGTTCAACAATTCCTGTCCATGGGGTAGAATTGAATGCGTTTTTAATGTCTAATGTAAGCAGTGCCGCGTATCCCTTGTTCTTATACGATTTCGTTTTAATACGGTCTACGTTACTCGTAACAATGTTTAACGCGCCTATCGTAGATTTGCCTCTGCGGAACCCGTATTGGTTTGGGTGTAGTCTGTTTCCATCCTCCAGTTCTTTCTCCAGTCTATCCCTCAGAAGACATTCTAACAGTTTGGCGCTTGCATTAATTAAACATATTGGACGATATTTTTTGTCTTGACTTCCATCGTTATTGGGTTTCTCTACTAGAACAAGTTTGGCAATTTTGATAAGACACTTGTTCAGGATCTCAGTGATTCTCTGAGGGTCTTGCATAGCAGCAATTTTGATAACTTCCACCGGTATGTAGTCCGGGCCAGGAGCTTTTTTGTTTTTCAGTTTACTTGCTGCAGAACGCACCTCTCCTTCAGTAAACCATATTACATCATCCGGTATTTTTTTTGGTATATCCCAACTATTTGACTGAGCTTTAGGGAACAATGTTGTGATCTGTTTTTCTATTATGTTATCTGTAACGGGAGCGTTGCGTCGGCCGATAAACTTTCTCATTACCAGTTGGTAAGCCTTGCCCCAAACATCGGACTCAAGCTCGTCACAGAGCTCTAGCCAATTCCTTTTCTTGCTCCTAAGGATTTCTTTTTTAAGACTGTGCTTGGCTATGCTGTAGTTGGTACGCGCCTGTTCCACGGCTTCGGGGTCCATCTCGCGTTCTCTTGCTCTTGTTAATACCCGTCTCTCTTTAATACAAATCTTCCTCTTTTCAGCAATCTCATTATTCCACCAGTACATTTGTTTTTTGTCCGTTATTCCTTTCCTGGGGAGAAAGGAATTACACAACTTTCTGAGACGTTTGTCTAGCCCTTCTGGGGATGGCGTTTACATTTTCAGTCCGTTCTCCTCACAATAGGTACTTATCTTTTGTAAGCCGTTTATTGTTGTCCTCCATCCGTTTATCTTTGCGACCACGTTGTCCTTCATCTGATTAACAATCTGTATGTCAAATCTGATGTAACGATGTAGGCTTAGACTTTCCTCCTCAGTTATCACACGCCAGTTTCTCACTAGTCTACTGATTCCCGGAGTTGCGACGGTAATATCTATTATTGATTCGCCATTTGCGTTTTTGAAAGTGGGCGTATTACCCTGGTTCACAACTACAAGATCATTGCACACGATCCACTCTTCGATAATCCTGCCTTTTGCATTTTGGATCCCAGAGCCGCAAATCCTTGTTTTGGCATTAAAGTCTCCCCCAATTATGGCTTCCTTCTTCCTCGAGCGTATCACAGCATTTATCTCATAGAATAAATCATTCAAGAGATCGATGGGTTTACTTGGTGAAAAATAACACGAAAACACTAACATATTTGTATATTCAACACACACAAAGCCTGTACCTGACACGTAGTCTACAATATTAAACTTATCTCCTAGGTTTGTTCGTATAAAACTATCACAGTCAATATCACAGGTGTTATTTTTTTTGGCATATATATTGGGTTCCTGACCCAGTATCAAGTTGATTTTGTGAGTCCTCATATACTGCAGAAGGAGGTCATATGCTGCCCCCTCCTATCCATATTTAACTGGAGGACTGAGAAGGCGCTGATTTTCCTCAAATGTTTGGACTCAGTTCTGGCTAACCTGAGACTGGAGGGTTCCGCTTGTTTTCTCTGCCCTTCTAGCAGTCTTTAGCGCTTTTTTGAACGCCCCGCACCTCCCAGTGTTGGCGCTGTGACCCTGCTCGTCACATATCAGGCAGTATGCCTCTTCTGTACATGCCTTGGCTTGATGGCCCTCCTTGCCGCAGTTAAGACAGAGTTTTGATCTGTCCGGTCCAGAACATTCATTTCCTGCACGGTCATAAGTCCAGCACCTTGAGCATTTTCTGATATCTAACCTCTTCTCCACAGAACATGATACCATTCCAGCTTATCGGAAACAGCGTTGTCAAGTTCTTACATTTGTACCAGCTCTGTTAACATTTTGCTGATATTTATTTATTCTTTCACCTCTTAAATAAAATGTATTACCTTTTTCAAAAGACACAAATTTTTAAAATAAAACTTTCGTAATTATATAAATTGTACAGTAAAAAGTATGGAACTGATACGGAAAGGAAGCTTACGTATAGCGTCAATACAATAAATGAAATGGATATGGAATGGAAACGGAAGGTATAATGAGAATCAACCTTTATACTTTTCCAAATCTCCATACCCTTTCAGAGAAAATTTAGAAAAACATGAAAATATGGTGAATTTTTTAAGAAGTTCCCAAAAATCAAAAGGCGTTCCTTGGGTAATATCATTTCGATTTCATTCATACATCGTTCTTATTAATTTTAATTAACGTCATATTTTTTGCTGATGTTAAACTATTAAATTTTCCGATATATATTGTCACCCTTTCCGTACCATTAAACTAAATAAATTTTGTGCTTCTTTAACATTTTAACACAGCAAAAAGATGATGTTAATTAAAATTCTATCAATAACAAATGAATAACAATCTATCAAGAAATGAATTCGGAATGATATTACCATAGAAACGCCTTATAAATTTTAGGACTTACGGCCTACACACGTAACGATTTATCGTACTGCATGCAGTACGATATCCATCGAAACTGCCGCATTAACGATAAATCGTAGCGTGTGTAGGGAAATTGGATGGTTTGCAGTATGCAGTACGGAGCTTCCGTAAAATATCGTATCAACGGGTCGTGTCTGGGGTGGGGTTTGAACGCAAGTTTGAACGTGTGTAGTGTATTCCCTGCCGCAGCGCGCAGTTACGATATAATTTTTATTTGTATTTGGTTTAATGAATATTATGGATTTAAAAAATAAGTCGTTCTGGGAAGACTTTATTGATTTATATAAAGAAAATAGATGCCTATGGAATGCGAAGTCAAAAGATTATGCAAATAAAATGAAAAGAAATTCCAGTTATGAAATTTTGTTTATTTTTTTATTTTTTTTTTGAATATTTCTTTCCATCAACCACTTTTTACACCGTTTTCGCTTTTTGATTTCTTTTTGTTCATCATCTTCATCTATCAGCAATACGGTAGCTACAAACACGGCAGCTTTCTCATTTGAAATTCTTGACATAACGGTAGCCCTTCTCGACGAAAAGTGAATAATCTGAACTGCGGCAGTACAATGTGTTGCATCGTGTGTACAAAAAATGGCTGTACTATGAGCCGTACGATTTTCTTTACGATCTGCAGTTCAAAGCGCAGTACGATAAATCGTTACGTGTGTAGGCCGCTTTAGAAAGAATTTTCATGTTTTTTTAAATTTTCTCTAAAGAGGTATGGAAATTTGGAAAAGTATAAACCAGGTTAACCATTTTAGAACAAGCAAAATTTTTTATGAAGAATGCATTTTTCTCAAAATGTCAAAAATAAAAAAGTTTTTCCTCTTGTAAAGACAATCCGGGGACTACCGTAGGTATTTATAACGTCAGTTAAACAATATAACTTACATGGTCTATTTTTAGTGTGTAAAAGTATTGGGTCAATATAAAGGCGTATGTAAAGACGAAATGGTTGGCGGACAAGATAGCAATCAAATGAACACAGCTGTCAGAGAAAATGGAGTAAATACCATAACGTTCAGAAGATTTTTAATATCACGTAAGTAAAATATATAAATTTTACTAATGGTTATAGGTTGTGGCTACATCCCAGTTAATTCTAAATAATTCACAATATCTATATTCAGTGTAAGAGTATACTTAGCGTGTCAAGAAGACAATTTTTCTATAAAACTACCTATATCTAGATTAGAGCTTTTCTTCCACACTATATAGTGTCTTACAATGAAATATAACGTGGAATGTTCATTTCTCATAAGAAAAAATATAATATTAGAAAAAAACGCATATATGGTCTTCTTAGAGTACACACACTGCAGGGTAGTGCAGGGACGCATACAATGGAGGTAACAACTCTACTCAGGAACAGATTTAAATCTAGTACTTTTATTAAATATTGCTACTACTCCTCCCTGACTCAATCTCTAGATGCGCCAGTGGCACATTGCCCTAATCCTCAGAATCGTCATAGATGTGTCATAGGTCTCAATCCAAAGTAATCCAAAGTACTCAAGAACTCCAAAGTACCCTCATAGAACCAATTTTTACATGTCATGCGCTGAATCTAGTCATTTTCAGGAGAACATTCATATATTTCACACCAAACCGGGCACAACATTTTTGTTTTTGGTTTGAAGACGAACCCAATGATTTTGCTTTATTTTTATTGCGGATTCTAATTCTCCTATATGTTTTCGTTTCATCTGTTTTGGGTTTTAACTTGCTTGCATACTGGTGAAAAAAAATCTCATAGAATCGCAAATTTCGATTTTTTTTTTCGATTTCATATTCGCCGTCCGCCAACTAGAGAAAAAAGTAAACGAGCAGCAGAGTAAAATTTATGTTGCATTCATCGACCTAACAAAAGCCTTCGACTCTGTGAACAGAGATGCACTTTGGGCTATTATGCAAAAGTTCGGAGCACCCAACAAATGTCTTACAGTGTGTAAAAGTCTCCATAACAAGTCAAGAGTGTCACCATCACGGATCACTGAGCGATCCCTTCCTAACAAATACAAGAGTTAGGTAGAGATGTGTCTTAGCGTCTCTCCTGTTCAATATATTCATGGCGGCACTCTCTATTATAGTGGACAGTAAACTACAGGAAAGAGGACTGGACATTAGATACAGATACTACGACGGAGACGGTCTGTTCAACATAAAAAGACTCAGGGCAAAAACACGCAGTAAATTCATCACAAAACTTCAATACACTGATAACGGTGCTTTAGTTGCCAAAACGTTACAGCAATTATAAGAAATGCTGAACTCATATACCTGGACATACCAAGCTTTGGTCAAAAAATCATGTGCACTCACCAGGAAAATTACAACAATGCTATAAAAATCGAAATCGAATATGTAGCGGAATTCAATTACCTCAGCAGTTTGATTTCGGAAAAAGCCAATATCGAATCTAGCACAAGATTAGCAGCGCCTCGAGAGTATTCTGCAAATTAAGAGACATTGTTTTCTAAAACAAAAACGAAACTTACAGTGTATCGAGCAATAACACCCCCCCCCCCCACCCCCCAATATTATATGGAAGCGAAACCTGGGTGCCGCGCTGTACCGCCGGCAGATGAACGCATTAAACAATTATATATATATATATATATATATATATATATATATATATATATATATATATATATATATTATATATATATATATATATATATATATATATATATATATTATTACATATATATAGCTAGTTATTATATATATATATATATATACATATATATATATATTATGTATATATATATATATATATATATATATATGCTATATATATATATATACATATATATATATATATATATATATATATATATATATCTCTGAAAGTAGTATATATATATATATATATATATATATATATATATATATATATATATATATATATATATATATATATATATATATATATATACATATATATATATATATATATATATATATATATATATATATATATATGAAAATATGGAAAAATCAAAACGTGTTTCTATGGTTTATAGCTTCGTTTTCATTCTTTGATACTATATACTATACTGCCATTACTCGCTGACGAGTATTCGACACGCATCAAAAGATGGTCACGCAAAGCGTTTTCTTTCATGAGCTTCTCTGTGACTGAAAAGCCCGATACGTAATGTTATTTGCCTACCGCACTCCGGACATTCAAAAATCTCATTGCTTTGTTGCCTCTTTACTTTTTGGTTGTCGCTGTTAACTGAGTTTACAATTCTTCTCCATTGAGTTCTATTGTGAACTGCTGAAGATTTTGGTATGCGGTTTTCTTGCATTCTGCATACGTGACCAGCCCATCTTAAGCGGGATTTTGTAACCATGACTTCAATACTCTCGCAATTAGCTTTTTCAAGGACCGATACGTTTGAGACATGATGGAACCACCGGATTCTTAAGAGTTGTCTAAGGTGTCTCTGTTGTAACTTGTTTAATGCGTTCTTGTGTCGGCGGTACGGCACCCAGGTTTCGCTCCCATTCTTTGATAGATTGTTATTCATGGAATTTTATTTAACTAACAACAACTAATATTTTTTTGTTGTTTTAAAAGAAGCTCAAAATTTATTTAGTTCAATGCTAGGAAAAGGATGATGATAGTTATCGTAAAATACGATATACTTTAACAACAACAAAGAATATGACGTTAATCAAAATTAATAATAACCGTCTATCAAAGAATGAAATCGAATTGATATTACTATAGAACGCTTTTTGATTTTTAGGACTTCGAAAAAAGTCAACAATATTTTCATGTTTTTCTTAATTTTCTCTAAAATGGTATGGAAATTTGGAAAAGAGTATAAACGGGATTAACCATTTTAGACCAGGCAAAATTTTTTTATGAAAAATATATTTTTCGCAGCGAAAATTCCTGCAACCTTCTTTTTATACATAGTATGTATGAAAGATATACTATTTTTCTAGATCTATACAGGGTGCTACAAATTCGAGGTACGAGCATTTATATCTCAGTAATCGTAATAGATACGAACATTGTTAAATTGGAGCAAAGTTGCCCTTTGGGATGTTCACCAAGATGCCATCAAATTTTTTTTTTTAATATCTAGGATTGCTGAGGTTTTTGGAAAAAAAACGGATTTTTTTGAAAATTAATTTTCTTCTTTCCTGTCATTACGTTAAAGAAAATCAAAGAACTAATTGCACATTCTCATAGCCACTTTATAAAAGCTATCTGACAGTATTTTTATATTTTCAAATTAGCTGATAATTTGTGAGATACAGAGGCCAACTTAATTTTTTTAAGTAGGGACCTGCATTTTTTATTTCAGATTTTGAAAGAACTCGGTCTCCTGCGTACAATGATATGCTACACTAAATATTTGTTTTTGTTTCGGACATTTGAGCACAATTTATTTAAACTAATTTCAAGTACGGCTCTGTTTTTTTTAATATTTAATCTATTCATCGTTACAACATTGATAAGCCTTCAAACTTAACAATGACGTGTGAGGTTTCGCTTCCATATAATATGGGGGGGGGGTGTTATTGCTCGATACACTGTAAGTTTCGTTTTTGTTTTCAAGTCATAATTGTAGAAAACCATGTCTCTTAATTTGCAGAATACTCTCGAGGCGCTGCTAATCTTGTGCTAAATTTCAGATTCGATATTGGCTTTTTCCGAAATCAAACTGCTGAGGTAATTGAATTCCGCTACATATTCGATTTCGATTTTTATAGCATTGTTGTAATTTTCCTGGTGAGTGCACATGATTTTTTGACCAAAGCTTATATATATATACAGTGATGGACATAAGTATGGAAAGATTTTTTTTCTAAAATATTTTGTGTAACTTTCTTTTTAAACAACTTATTTTAAATATATTAAATGAAACAGCGTTTTGTAATATATGGATATTTAGTTTTAATTTTCAAAAATAATTTATATATTATTATATTTATATATTTTTCTTTTACCAAAAAACATAAAAATTACTGTGGACAAAAGTATGGAAAGAAAATTTTATAAAGAAACAAATCCTAAAATCTAATATTTAGTTGCGTAACCTTTGGCCTGAAGGACTGCTTTACATCTTCTTGGCATGGAATCCACAAGGTTTTGACAAATTTCCAAAGGAATGTTCTGCCATTCATCTTGGAGCATCTCCCACAAATCTTTCGCATTGTGAATAACCCTTAATTGAATTTTTCTTTCTAAATGCTCCCAAAGCTGTTCAATTGGGTTTAAGTCTGGCGACTGAGAAGGCCATTCCAAAACATCCACGTTTGCCTCCAAAAACCAATTTTTTACCAATCGTGAGGCGTGTTTGGGATCACTGTCCTGCTGGAATCTCCATATTACGGGCATCTCTTCTTCCGCAAATGGTAACATGTTATTTTGCAGAATGTCCCTGTACATAAAGCGATCCATTTTTCCCTCTATCTTTAGTAGCGGACCAACCCCAGCTCGAGAAAAGCACCCCCAGATCATAACGCTGCCACCACCATGCTTTACCGTTGGCTTCTGGTACTTTGCATCATATATCTTTTACCTACTGGCCTTCACAAATGATCATCAGAACTAAATATTTTAAATTTACTCTCATCACTCCAGAGCCCTGTGTTCCAATTTTGAGATGTCCAATTTAAATGATTTTGGGCAAACCGAATTCTGTACCTGATTTCTTTGAGAGCAAAGGTTTTTAACGGCCACTCTTCCAGAAGTCTTACTCAATGCCGTCTCACGGTGCGATCAGTAACATTGATATTGAAATTGTCACAGATTTCCTCTTTTATTTGCAGTGAAGATTTGTGGGTCTGCTAGAGAAATCTTTTTTAATGGATTTTTATAAAAGGGATGTTTTTCGGGGACGTCCTGATTTGGCCGGTTAGTTGTAGCTCCCCAATGTTCGATACTTTTTAAAATTTCGAACTGTTCCTTCTGAAATCATTAATGATTTGGCAATTGTACACTGTTTAGCACCTCTATTTTTTAACTCTATAACTCTGCGTAAGTCCCTATCAGCTCTTATTTTTACCCATTTTAACAATATGTTGCTTGCCTTTGCAATAAAATGAAACCAAATGAAATCGATCACAACAGCAAAAAATATGAACAAGAAAAAAGCTTCCATACCTTTGTCCGAGGCGTAAACAAAATATGTTGATAAAAATAAACAATGTAGGTATAATAAAAATTATCTTTGTGAATATTTGATATATTTATGCGGTTGTTAGCATACGAAAATATTTAAGCTGTATTATTTGTTTGATGAGATAAAATAGGAATTAAAATCTTCATACTTTTTTGTCCGCCACTGTATATATATATATATATATATATATATATATATATATATATATATATATATATATATATATATATATATATATATATATATATATATATATATATATATATTATTCCGAGATAGGCTTTTGCGTACTAACAGTCCCTCCTGTGTCTGTTAGTACCTTAGTAATGTCTCCTGTCTCACTAATCTCCATGGACTGAATTTGAATGAATGTTCTCTATTAATTTTAGTAGTTCCCAATTTAAGTGTTATTTAATCTTATTACTACCATTTCAGATTAATAAAAATAATAAAGCAAATTTCTTGTACTAAAAAAAACATCTCACCAATGGGAAATTCGACTCATGTAATTAATGAACGCCCCACTAACTAGAATGTTTTCTACTGAGATATTTAAATAGTCGAATTAAAAAAAAACATTGGGATTTTATTTTATAAGCGGTTCTAAATAAATAAAAAAGAAGATTTTTTATTTAATAGAGAATAATAATTATAAGATATTATATAATTAATACAGAATAATAAAATCTTTTTTTAGCCGATAATGGAGATAAAGATATCCCTGTCAACGGAACCATTTATGTCGTTTGGGCGATGGGCAAATTGGACGAAAATAAAGAACCGGCATTCCACGATGTCTACCCGAAAACCAATATAACCATCGAAGTCAATCCTAAAGAACCGCAAAATAATTGCTATTCCTTTACGAGGTCCGAACCACAAGTGGGAGAACCCTGGAGTAAAGGGCAGATTTTTGACAAAACCGTACGGGTGTTTAGAAGTACCATCGGCCCATCTGGAGCTAAAAAGGGATATCAAACTATAACGAGTGAGTATTTATTATTTATAGAGAAAGCATCATGGTCGTCTCCTTAATTGTTCACTTTCTCACGCTTCGTCTTCCATAGTAATGAGCAAATGCAAGAGCAAGACTCGCTTGGTCTTGGTCATGCAGGGTCCAGTTTTGTTCTTGGTCTTGCTGCAAGACTCTTGGAAGTCTTGCATTTTTAATGAATTTTTACAAAAACACTTTCAGAGCTGCAACAAGTCAGTTTTAAAAAGACTTAAGTCTTAAGATCAGATCTTTGACTTAAGTCATTTTCTTTCTCAAGTTAACTCATTTTTGTAAAGACTTAATTCAATATAACGTTATTTAAGTCTTTTTTTTTACTTAAATCATGATAATCTGCATTGTCAGTAAAATGAATTAAATCAATATAATTTCCCCCAAATCAAGACAACTAGAATTCAATTTAAATACCTATTTTTTAAATGTTAATATTAATTTTCATGCATGTACTATTTCCCATTACCGATTTTTTATGGTTCCGTACCCAAAGGGTAAAAACGGGAACCCTACTACTAAGACTTCGCTGTCCGTCCGTCCGTCTGTCACAAAGGTCTATCTTATGAACCGTTATAGCTAGACAGTTGAAATTTTTACAGATAATGTATCTATGTTCATTGCCTGGAAACTTATATGGTGAAATTTTGATAAAATAATTTAGTACTCACTAAAAACACGGTACGTCGCTAGTGGTAGGAAAAATAATTTTTAGAGGTTACTAGTTTATTTGGTTGCCTGTGATATGCATATACAGGGTGTTTCCTAACTAATCTAAAAAATATAAAAATCGTTAGAAACATTTCCATTACATATTTATTTGTTTCTCGACAACCGTTTGATGAACAAGAAAAACCTAAAAAGATCAATTTTGTTGAAAAGGATGGCCAGTCAAGAAAAATATATTTTCTTTAGAAAAGCAGTAGTGTACCATTTATGTTAAGCAAAATATCGATTTTTTTTTGAATTTTTAACACCCTGTAGATCAGAAAGGAAGTACTTTAGGACCTAATGGTTATATAAAATTGTTTTAAGAAGACATGAGGAATCACACCACAATTTTTAGACTAATTAGAAAAAAACCCTGTATATTGTCAACTTGACAATGATTGCTGATAAATCAAAAATACCTTTTCTGTGAAAAAAAAACGATTTTCGCAGAAATTTTGGTTTTCGAATTTGGCCTGCGTCTGCAAATACCGGTATGTTTTTTTAATATTCTATTCATCTAAATTTTAAATATCATCATAGTCAGAAATAGTTTTATTATTTATTAACTGTAAAAATGGTATACTTATAAGTTTTGTCAAATATTGTGATTTACTTTCTACCTTTGTAGTCAAAATTTATATTTAATAAACTGTAAATATATATATATATTCTTATGTGTTTTACAGTTACTCTGATATACTAATATATCAGTGTAACTTTAAAACTAAATCCTTTGAAATCAAATATAAACATAAAAAATATTTACAGCAGAAAAGGCGAAGGCGGTGGGTTAAACGTAGTCTCTACTAAGAACACGGAGGGGCGCTTTGACCCAAAATTTTACTATTAAGTTTCATATCTATCTATGTTGGCGCTATAAGAACAAATACTATAAACAGAATTAAATAAATGTTTATAAATAAAAAATTACTTTTACTAAACATTATATTTTAAGTAAGAATTTTACATAAAATATTTCAAGTCCTCGGTGACCGGCGCGGCGTGGTTAAAGCGTTAGTCAAGGCGACTTTTTTTAATGTTTTTTTTTTAATTTTTACATATTTATTTTTACTTTTTACATATTTATTATTGATTGATACACTTTTTAGTAATGTGTTTCTTATTTTTTTTTAAATTACTTATACGCGCATTCAAAATTTCAGCTAAATCGGAAAAAAAGTTTATAATAATATAGTGTCTAATGTTGTATAGATAATGAATGGTACGGAACCCTTCGTGCGCGAGTACTTGATCAATTTTTTATTAGCTATATTAATTTATTGTAAATACAGATTAGAATAAAATATTATATAAACAACTATAATAAACAATAAAAAAATAAATGCATCAAGGACATAAAAACACATATATAAAAACATCAACAACTTAAATAAAATTAAATTTTGTGGTACTTTGTACAGGTTGTCCCATTTTTATGTGTTTCACAGGGTTTCTAGTTTATGAGCAGCGGTACAACGATACGGTTTTTACAATTGCTACTTTTTTATGAAACTAAAGATGGTAAACACATAGTTTGATGCCACTGCTAAAAATTTACGATAAAAATATATGAAAAAAGACCTAAATCTTTTCTAAAAAGACTTAAATCTTTTGTAAAATGACTTTTAGGTCATTAAAAAAATATTTAAATTTCGTTATGTGTTTAAATTATTATCATCTATGAAAAATGATTGAAAAAGGACCTGAAAAAGACCTTGCATGCTGGAAGTCTTGCGTCGGTCTTCGTCTTGCAGATAAAACGTTAGTCTTGGTCTTGCTTTTTGCTCCAGATTAAGACCAGTCTGGCTCATCACTAGTCTTCCATAGAATAGTTAGCATTTAGTTGATTGGCCCATATTCGTATTTAGAAAGAGCGAGAATATATTATAATATACAAAATTTATTAATATTTTTTAGAACATACCTCAACAGCCCTCGCTTGGTACATAAATGGTCTACTGGCACCAGAATTATGGTTAAGAAGAGGCTTGACTTATGTTTTTAAAGTGTATGGTGGTAATAACCCGCACAGCCCTGAATATTATCATCCAATGATCATTACCGACGATCCGCATGGCGGATTTGATAGATTAACCGACGAAGCTCAGTCGAAAATCAGAGTTTTAACTGGTGTTGAGTATTCGAGAAGAGGAAGACCACGACCGACCGCAGGTAACTTATAAAATATGACCCCATTGTCTATTAATCAAATCATGTACTGTTATAAAAACCTTAATGAAAGAACATTTTACTAACAACCAAAAACTACGCAAAAACATATATTTGAAGCCCTTGTCTAGATATCTAACATCTTTTTTTTAATTGTAATAAGATAGGCAAACAGCAAAGCACTGTTTATTTATTTACTTACAGGTTTTCCTCTTTTTAAGGGAAATAGAATCGATAAAAAATCATTAAAAAATGTCAAGAAAAATATAAAATTTTCAACATTTTTTTTTTCGCAAAAAAACTCGTTGAGTTTGTTTCTGGGGTCGAACTATACTACCAGATAAAATATCTGCACTTATTTCTAGGACACCCTGTATATACCATATACAAAAATTACTTGAATAAATAATTTAAGCAATTTTAATAGATACTATATTAATATATACAGGATGGCGCACCTCATTCGCCTCGGTTGATTATACGAAAACGGAAAGATGTAGAAACAAAATATGGGTATATGTGGGAAGACAACATGCATAATTTAAAATTATTTTGAAGTGTACAGGGTAGGTCAGAACTAAGATCCACACCGTTATGTTTTTTCTTATGATACAAAATAAGGTATTTATTATAAGGGTTGAATATGTTTACAAGCATTGGTTTTTGAGATATTTACATATGCATGCTATAATAAAAAAGATTGTCAACACGCTATACATTGCCACAGACATTGCTTTTCAGAATTAATTCTTGTGCTGACTTTTAAGCCAAAGAAATAAACTTTACAGCTATTTTCTAGTGACAGTGGCTATTTTCAAAATCGACATTAGTTTATGGACTTTATTTAAATTTATAACAGTTTAGTTTAACACTTTTATTTAATTTAGCTACAGTAGTTTCATAAGTAAGTATTTATTATTTTATCAAGAAATATAAAGAAGTAGTTCTTTGATTTATATTACGATGACTTGTAGATATATTGGTTTTTCTATAAAAGAGCCAATTAAGGCAAATTCATTTTCTTGACTTCCAACGACAGGTTTCTACCTAATAGGTGCTCCATATACCACACTATCAGCTCTGCGAAATAAGAAAAGTAGTTTTTCAAAGAAACGCTTGTCAAGAAAATTCTTGTTTGGATATCTTTGAGCATTCATGCTTCATTTTTCTTGATAAAATAATAAATACTTACTTATAAACCTTATTGTAGGTAAATTAAATAAAAAGCACTTGTTATAAATTTAAATAAAGTCCATAAACTAATGTGGATTTTGAAAATAGCTACTAAGTGTCACTAGAAAACTACCATGACGACACCATGCAGCCATCTTGATTACAATTTTATTGAAAAATCGATTTTTATTCAAAATCTGAGCCAGATAGGTAGAGGAAACCCTAATATAGTTTGAAAGAGCATTTAAATATGCTTCGACTTATTCAAAAAATACATAGTGTTGTATTTGAAATAACGAAGTTTTTATGTAAGATAAATATTTAAAATAGACCAACAATTTTTGATAACCCTGTATACATTTAAAGAAGCAATCAAATTTTGTAATAAAGTTTATTTCGCTGGCTTGAAAGCCAGCACAAGAATTAATTCTGAAAATTAATGTACAAGGTGTTGACAAACTTTTTTATTATAGCATGCATACTTAAATATCTTTAATTATCTCAAAACCCAAAGCTTTTAAACATATTAAACCCTTATAATAAATGCCTTATTTAATGTTCTAGTATTCAAAAATGGAATAAAATACCGGGTGTGTTCCATAAGAAAAAATATATAACTTTGGTATGGATCTTAGTTCTGACACACCCTGTACATTTCAAAATAATTTTAAATTGTGTACATTTATTTCCGTTTTCGTATAATCAACCGAGGCGAATGAGGTGCGCCATCCTGTATATAAATTCATAACTCATAAATATCATTTCTAGCTGGACCTCTCTGCCTGTCCAAACATCGAGATGATCACGATCGAAGACTGGACGACGATTTTGAATCGTTTAAAAAATTCAATCGTTCCCTGATCTGGACTTGCGAGTCTGGAGAACCAGGCATACTGGAATTTACGCCAAATAACACTTGGCCGGATATAGTCTACTACAACTCGTTCACTCAAGCTAACATGGGATGGAAGATTCACATCATAGATAGTTTCAATCAACGGACCAGCGGATCTTCCAAATCAAGACTCGACTTCTTTTCATTCTTCATCCTCTTATTATTGTTTGTTAAACAATTATTTTAATTGTTTATTTAAACAACCAGATGACTGCCATAGTTTTAAGTAAATTATATTGAAGCCCTACAAGTGTTATACATTTTTGAATATTTATGAATTAGTTAAAATGTTTGTAGTTTAGTATGCAGGTCTTGATTATATGTCATAATCAATACACCTGAAAAAAAACTGCTTCTTTGGTATGCCGATAATAAACTATTCAATCTGATATTTTTTAGTTATTTCGAGTAGATAATAGTTGTCTGTTTCAAGGAAAAAAACCAATGCCCCAATTTAACCATGTTCGTATCTATTACTGTTACCGAGATACCAGTGCTGGTACCTCGAATTTGTAGCACTCTGTATAGAACTGTTTTCGAGAAAAAAAAACAATTCATTGTAGGTCCCTGAATCCCATTAAAAACCTTTAAACACGTAAATTTCAATTTCCATTTGCAACTAGAGTAAGGTAGTAAAATACTTGATATCAAATTACAATGTGTTATTTATGTTTGTGAATTGAAGAAAATTAAAAAAATGGTATTTAACATAATTTAAAAAAAATCAATCTTTTCAAAGTTGATGTTAAAACTTTGAAGAAATTGATTTTTTTAATTATATTAAAAATAATAAATTTAAAATTGATTTTCTGTATCTTTAAACTATGCATTTTCCGGCCCCATATAAACATATAGTGTGACCAACGGATCTGAAGCTACGGGGTATCGGCAGGGGAACGCAGTTGTAAACAAAACACGCCCAATTTCATTCATAAAATAGGTATGGACGTACGGTGTTTTATGAAAATAATGTGTATCATAAATATAATATTCAGATTAATATTTTTTTTTTCAAAAAACTTTATGCTGTCTGAATCGTTACTGTTGAGTTAGTAGATAAACTAACTTAACACTAAAATCTTTTATTAAAGCTCCCTTAAATATTTTGAATCACTTTATTATTATGTGTTGTTAATATAATAGAAGAAATAATTACAGCTGGGGGTTGGAACCTTTGGTCTTACACAGCAAAATAAAACACTAAATCAGCACAATACACCAAAACACTTTTACTTTTACACTGGCTCACGTTTCGCTAACCATGCTAGCACCATCAGCAGATGATCAAGACTGAGTCTTGAGGTATATTTATTTTCTATTTCCAGTAAAAAAAATCTTGAAAATAGTTAACTTTGGAAGCGCAAACAAAACATAATTTTATTCACCAGTAGATCCAATATTGCCTATTACACCAGATATGGTATCGCTCCACCAGCACTTTTTAGTGTTTTTATATTTATTTATTTATATTTATTATATGTATTTTTTAGCCTGTTGTTTCCCTGTCAAAGGAAAATTCGATTCTTCCTACAATTTTTGCAAAAGCTTTCTAATTGTGGGGACGACTTTGAATTCGAGATAAAATCTATTTATCAAATTCTCACTTCACTTGGAAATCCTCTCTTCACTTGGAAATCAAAGTCGTCGAGCTTTTCAACAGCAGTCTCACGTGGTCGTTTCTTTCCAGGGCTGGATATCATTTTATCGGGGTTAGTTTCCAGCCTTTTTTTATCTTCTGTGTGAATTTTTTTATAACAGATACGCTAACTCCGGTATAAAGAGATCAAGTTCCGTATATTATCCGTATCCGTATATTATTATTCAAGTATAAAGAGATCCGCTCAAGTTTACGTTTAAGCGGCAACTTAAGCGAACTCTCTGTAGCTTCTTCGTCGCAAACCCTATTATGAACACAAGGAAATAAACCAAATGAGATTTCATCCACGTTTATTTATATTTATTTTAGTTTAGCTAAAATATTTAGGTAAATTGCGTGCTTTTCATTTTAGCCAATATTTAATTTTAATATTCTAATAATTATATTATTATTATTATTATTCTACTTACCTATATAAATTAGCTATTATTTCTCTTGTCTGGCTATGTAGCGTCTTACCCTTAACAAATTTATTCACTTTAAAACACAAATATACGATCAAACTTAATATTAATAATTAAAAACTACGAACAATAAACATTATAACAAGATAACAAAACAATATAACACAACTTAACTACTAAATATACGAAAAATATAGGAATAAAGTTTAGGATAACCGGTATAAAATAATGAAAGAAAGTAATAATCATCAAAAGAATCACACCGCCACTGGATATTTCAATAGTATTCAATATTTCTACTCTTTTCAGAAGAGACCGTGAAGTTGGGGATAAAGATAGCAAATAGAAAAGGCGTAAAAGCCATGGCAACCGCGTGGTAACAAATCCTGTGACGTACTCTCGCCAATCATTTTCGATGAATAGGCGGCCATGCGCGGCGATGCCGGTTTGCCAATGATATCCTTGAAAAATCTTCACCTTCCATAATAAGCAGATTATACAGAATGAAAGAAATAAGTTATTAAATAAAACATATCGAACAATATGAACTACTTAAATTACAGTTGAGGGTTGGAACCTTTGGTGTTACACAGCAAAATAAAAACACTAAATCACCACAATACACCAAAACACTTTTACTTTTACACTGGACGCGCGTTTCGCTAACCATGTTAGCATCATCAGCAGATGATTATAAAACTCGAGTTTTATAATCCCAGTTTTATAATCATCTGCTGATGATGCTAACATGGTTAGCGAAACGCGCGTCCAGTGTAAAAGTAAAAGTGTTTTGGTGTATTGTGGTGATTTAGTGTTTTTATTTTGTTTAATATGAACTACGTTAAAATTCCTTAGTAATATACGTCAGAATATATGCTAAACACATTATATATAATAAAAATATATTAAATTTATAGTTCATATCTGGAAATTTTGCAATTTTATAGATAAACGTGGCAATATCGATTTTTTTTTCTCGCATTCCTTCCGTAGCTTCAGATCCGCTGGTCAAACAGTATGTCCTACACACATACTGCATACTGCCATTACTCGCTGACTGAGTATTTGACATGCATCAGAAGATGGTCACGCAAGGCGTTTTCTTTCATGAGCTTTTCTGTGACTGAAAAGCCTGATTCGTGATGTTATCTGTCTACCGCACCGGACATTTAAAAATCTCATTGCTTTGTTCGTCAGCGAGTAATGGCAGTATGCAGTATGTGTGTAGGACATTTTTTCCTAAGTTTTCGATGAGGATTTACCCTCTAAATTTTGGAGTGCATTATTCGAACACTGTGTATACTAGTAGTGGGAACTATCGAATGAATACTATCGAAACATTCGATAGTTGCAATTCATTCGAATAATTCGATAGCTAGTAAGAAAACATTCGTCGAAAACTATTCGAATAAAAATTATCGAATAGATGCGTCATCTGCCTTGAAATATTGTATTCTAGTAATTCGGCAGCAAAAACCATTCATTTATAAAATTCATTTATTCGTCAGGATCGATTTTAATGAAATATAAACTGGATTTCTGTTGTTTCTTTCCTAGAAACCCGACAGCGGTCGGTGGCAATGCTATGAAAGAAGCCGGCATCTTTGATTTTTTGCGGAGTCAAATAAAGATAAGGACACATTATTTTTTTTTATTGGGGTGCTAGTATTTACACAGAAAATACATTATGAAGGGCGCTGTTGCCATATATTCGTATTAGTTGGTATTAGCAAAGAATATTATTCTTTTTCGATATAATCGAGATAAAAATTAGACGTATTTTATATTATATCTGTGGTAACCGAATTACAAATGAACAAGTAGTATTCTTTCGTTCTGAATTTTCGATATATCGGATAAAAATTAGTAGTATTTATTAGTGTTGGGAAAATTCGAATTAAATAATACGACTAATTCGATAGTAAATTAAAATTAACTAATTCGAATTATCTTTTTCGATATAATCGAGATAAAAATTAGTAGTATCTTGTATTATACTGTGGTAACCGAATTACAAATGAACATAAAACATAACCTCTTATGGACGAATACGAATATTAGTAATTAGTATAGTACTATTAGTAGTATTCTTTCGTTCTGAACGAACTGAAAATTTTCACTTAAACTGATTTATAAAGGGAATCGACAAAGAAAGGAACGATCCGATATAGAAAAATCCAGAAATCATTGTTATTTCCTATACCACGTAGGAATAAATCAGTTTAAGTGAAAATTTTCATTTCGTTCAGAACGAAAGAATACTACTATTATTTGGCTCATTTCAATCTCACCCAAATTTCACCGAACACCTGCCGAACACTAAAATTAATTTTCTTCTTTTATCTAAATAGTTATTGATTGCAATTGATAAAATAAAAAGAAATACGAACCGCACGTAAACAAGGACATACCTACTTATATCGTTTTAGAAGAAGCTTTTATTTTAGATATGAGCTTTTCAATAGGAATTGAAACAATCATAAACTCAGCACTTTTAAATTTAAAACTTTAAAAAGTTAGGGATGGTATGTCTAATGTTTTGCATTTTTTTATTAATATTCTGTTATTACACTGCAATAATACTTTTTATTTTGGATGTAGGAAAATGATTTTTAATGTTTTTAAGCAAAGACTGGTTTAATAAATAATAATAACAGTAATAATTTGTTATACCTATTAACAACAAAATTTAAAATCATTTAATAATATAAACATTTCTTTAAGTAGTAGCAAAATATAAACAACAAATAGAAATCAAAAGTATTTATATTAGATCCTATTTAAAAATAATATAGTCTCTAAATGGCAACGTTGGTTTATTAAATAATAATAGTTACAGAACTAATTTGTTATATTAACAACAAATTTTAAAATCACGAAATATAAACATTTATTAATTTTCTAAGCATGCAGTGTAATGGAAGGAAAATATAAATAAAAAATTAGAAATCAAAATTATTTATATTACTTTTTATTACTTTATATTACTATATAAAAATAATATTTACTTTTACTGGCATTTACTTTAAAAAATAAATGAAATATTTCTTCGCAAAAAACTACATGTAAGAGAATTAGCATAAACAAAATACAAACCTTGTTAACTTTTTTTAAATTGGCACGTGTAAAACTTTCAATTTAATTTTCTCACCCCAAAATTTGAGTTCAATAACCATTTACTTAACCACATTACTTAAATATGATTATTAAGTTCAACTAATTCATATTATTAAAACATCCAAAATACAAATATGTATTTTTAAAATTAATTGTAAATTCATCTCATCTCTCTTAAAAATTGTTACTTCTCAAAATTTCCCATTAAAAAAATGCAATCTAACCTAACCATAATATACCATATAAAATTAAATAATTGAAAGATCGGGCTACGGAAAATCACACAAATTTTCGGAAAAATTTTGACCACTTCGCACGCAATCGTCAATTAAAAAAAAACTATTTTAGTATTTTAAATATTTTAATAAACGCAAAAATAGCATAGTACTTACAAGGCGAAGTTATAAAAATTTGGAAGAACTAATAATGCACTGACGCACACAAAAATCAAACGAATACTAAATTTCATTTATCAAAAACATTCGATAGTCGTGGCTCGTGGCGCAACGATAACCATTTAGTCGCACGGCGAGGTTGTCACTTATGCTTTAGTATACAAATGAATGAATGATTTTATTCAAATAAAACCATTCGATAGTTGAAATCATTCATTCAGTAACCATTCGATAGTTCCCATCGCTAGTGTATACTAGTATCAAATATCCTTTCCCTGTTATTTTACACAAACGTTATATACACAAACGTTATTTTTTTTATCTATAAAAACAAGTGAACTAGTTTTATGTACATTTATTGAAAATATGGAATCAACATTAAACACTTGATTTCAACATTTATAAATTGTGATTTACACGTACACGATCATTGTAATATTTATGCTAATAAAGTTAAAAAAAATAACAACTGCTTTTTGAAACGGCATCATGTAAAAACATGAACACTGATTATAAATGAAAAAATATATTAACAAAAATACAAAACTGAACTTAGTGATAATAAATAGCGATAGCAGCCTTTCAAAATGATTGATATTAATAAAAAAATGTTATCTTTGATTAGTTTACACTTGCCATGTAAATATTTAGTATAAAAATACTATAAACCTCTTTATTTTACTTAGTGCGAGTTTATATGCATGCATCTTGCGTCGTTGATTACTGTGGACTTTTATTGGGGATAATTTCAAAAATGACAGGTAATACCTCAACACATGAGAGGCTAAATCGCCCAGGCTGTACCCAGTACCAACGTTGCCAAATGTCCACAAGTGTCGAGATTGAGAGGTTGGTCTAGTGATTTAATTTCGTTCGGTTTCACTCTTATTGGTGGGGTTGGATAGATTATTTGGTGGGGTTATAGTTGCGTTGGTTAAGTTGGTTATTTGGTGGGGTTGACTGCGTTGGTTCGGTTAGCTGTTTGGTGGGGTTGGTTCAAGGACTGTATATATTCTAAAGGACTGTTCGATCGCGTCAAATCGCCGCTGTCGTAGTCGCCGTGGAATGCTACGTCACGCGCTGACCAGCGCTCCACAGTGCGGCGGATGGTTATTCTAGCGGGACAAAATCTCAAGAGCAATGTTTGGGACTTAAAATCTAAGAACGTAGCAAATGGTCTAATATATAGCAACTATATGGTTAAATTTATTTATTTATTAACAACTTAATTTATTAATAAATAAATACAAGATAATAAAACTATGATATTATTCGTACATGACACATAAAAATCGTATTGTAAACTATTGCCAAATACATAAAATTATGATATCAAAAAACTCTTTAGCAGTTTTTTTTAATTAATTTGTAATCTTGTTACACCCTCTATAATTTATTTTAAAAAAATATATTTTATTTTGAAAATAATAAATAAGATAGATATTTTAATTTTAATTTAAACACTCGGTAATTGTAAATTCATATATAGTAAGTATCTAAGACAATTTTTTAAACTCAGTGCCTTTTGATGGAGTTGTTTTGTTTTTATACTATTCGATTGAAATGAATCTTTTTGGGCATTCACGTGTTATAAGCTTGAACTCCCTGTGACTGTGACTACCTGTGTTGGTAACTAATTGATAAAAAACAACTCAAAAGATCTATACATCATTCAATATATCGATATTTGAAAAAAAGTGAAAGTTTGATATCTGCAGAACAAAGGCACGAAAGATTTTAACAAATAATATACGTACAGTAGAAAAGTACATACCTTTGGCAATCTTCAACATAATTTGGCTTTCTAATAAAATGTATAAGCACTTGTAAATACTTTGTTTTCGTATGATCTCTGCCTTGCTGAGCAGAAAACGACCAAATTTGGTTGATAAAAATGTATCGAAATACAAAGAATATTCATGTATTTTTGTATCAATTGGAATGTCTACTATTTATTCTTATCAGTACACATTTTTTGGCTTATTTCTAACCAAACGCTTTTGTCCCGCTAAATTTATCTTCCAACGCACTGTGCGCTCGTCAGTCAAATGCAAAAATAACTGTCACTGTCTAAAATCTTTAGCGCCAACTTCAACTCGGTCCCCAGATGACGTAAAAAAACTGACAGTGCAGGAATATAACTATCTAGTGATAGGAATCGAACTATCCTTATCTCTATAGTATTCTTGGGGTTGGTTTGGTTTTTACTAATTTATATTTGTTTAGCGTTGTTTTACGCCGTAAATTGCTGTGCGTGTTTTGATTGCGTTGGTTAGTTTCTCGTGTAAGTTTTTATTTAAATTACAGGCGAAATATCCGACCGAGTAAAAGTGAACATTTGGCAACGTTGATGAGCCTGGGCGATTTAACCTCTCGTCCTCAACACGATTAGCGCAACGGACGACACATGACGTATGCATATAAACCTTTAGTAATTCTTTGTAACGTTCGTGTTACACAAAACATACATTTGACAAGTGTACAACTAAAAAATGGGTTTTAAATGTTAAACAAATGTTTACGTTAACATGTGTATAATGATTCTTAAAAAATAATTAAGTTTTCTTTATTCTATAAAACACGTAATTGCACTGACACAAATTTTAACAAATTATATATACAACCATTTAATCTTAGTGATTTGCGATTATCAAGATTTTATTTAAAACTTTCGATTCTTTCTCACCGCTGGTAAGGATTATACAAGCTGAAAAAAAAGTTATAGAAATTACAAATTTCTTATAGAAAGCCGAATTTATTTTATACAGTGTCGCAGATAAAGTCCGAATCATACCGAACATTTTTTTATTTATTGACTTAAGTGAAATTTGACTTCGGCAATAGTTTATGCTTTGATTTATATTAAAAACTACATCAGAGAATTTCGTCCGTCGCCCTCAGGTATGTCAAATTTGACATTTAAAGTAATAAATGGCTAAAATATTGGTTTCAAACTATATTAGGGTTTCCTATACCTATCTAGCTCAAGTTTTGAATAAAGAACAATTATTAGACAGTTAGTAGCTATTTTCGAAAGCAGAATGTTTATGAACTTATATAAATTCATACCAGTTTACTTTCATTTAATTTACCTACACTGATAATAATTATATATTAGATAACTTTTAATTACCTACGCTAATATGTATTTATTATTCTATAAAGAAATACCAAGAAGTAGTTCTTTGACTTATTTTACGATAACTTATAGACAAATTCATTTTCTTCACTTCCAACGACAGGTTTCTGCCTAATAGGTTTTTTATAAACCATACTACCAGCTCTACGAAATAGGACAAGTAGTTTTTCAAAGGAACGCTTATCAGGAAAATTCCTATTTGGATCTCTTTGAGCATAAGCCCTTGAGGCTAAGAGGCTATTTTTCTCACAAAATAAAGTCACTTGTAACATATCCATTCGTTCCTCCAGCAGATACTGCTTATTTTTCCATTCCATATCCGTTCCGTATTTTTTATTGTATTGACGCTATACGTAAGCTTCCGTTCCGTATCAGTTCCATCCTTCATTTGCATAAAGTGTGTATTTTGTCTTTTGTATATGTCACTTTTTCAAACATGTCCTTCAAATCGTTCAAATTAATAGCTGTTAGTAAGAAGTTTCACTTCAATTAAAATTTGACAGACACCTGATAGCAACAGTGTGAATCTTATTATCATTTTTAATCTATTTTAAAGCAAAAACTTGCGCCAAAGTCAGATTTGACCCAAATCAATAAATAAAATAAAATTCCATATGATGCAGACTTTATCTGTGACACTGTATGTGCAATAAATACCTAATCTTACCTAATACTTGTTGATGATTCACGACGATTTTTGTCTTATCGTATTCCTCATGCTAAGGTTCGTGTAACTTGACAAAATTTTCCAACGTTTTGGGTATTTGGCCTTCATAAGGAATCTTGTTTTTAGTTATCAGAGATGCGCATAGACATTTTAAGTTTGTGTAGTTGATAAGGGAAATGTAAGCGAGATTATGTCGAACCAAATCGGAAATGGAGTCCAATGGAGTCTTTCCTTGGCAGTCAGGTTGATCCAAATGAGCTCCGTAGTCAAGTAGTAGCTTCACCAACTATGGAAAGAAAACACAAATTTTCATTGTTATATTCTCCTGTTCATTCTAAATTGGTGATCTGTATTTTAATGAGTAAGAGAGAGAGAGAGACAAAGATTGTACCTACATACAGGGTGGTGCCTCTCATACGCCGCGGAAGCTCCAAGGAGAACGGTAGTTTATATCAAAATGAAATTTGGGCAGCTTATGTTGGTTAACTGAAAGCATTTTATAAAAATATATTGATTTATACAGGATGTCCTCAAAAAAGTTACACATCAAAGTTGTGTTTTTTCTAATGGAACACCCTATATATTAATTGATTTTCGGATTCTAGGAAAAAAATTAAGGTGAGTTTTATTAAAGAAGCATATACCTAAAATCTAAGGATTTTGACATATTTCACATTTTGTGAAAATGAAGACTAAATTTTAAATTTCGATAATAGCTACCTAAATTTTAGTTGACCTTGTATAGACTGATATTTAATTACAGTAATCATTGTATGTTAAACCAAATTGAAATTTGACCCGAAAAGTTATACAGGGTGAGACAAAATTAATATGGAACTTTAGTCACTTTCAAGCAAGTTACTCCTTTCTTTTAAATGGAACACCCAGTATGTTTTTCCGGTTTTCAATGAGGAATTTATATATCTTCCAAACATTATTAAGGTTGCCTACCCCTTAGACAAAGATTTTCTTGGATATTTTAATTTTTATGATTTATAGAGCTTTATTATTTGAAAAAATCTAGGGGTGGTACAATCTAATCTGTGTGATACACCTTTTGTTAATTTATCAAAAATTAAAGATTGTAGAGTAAAATACTCAACGGTAATAAAAAGATACACGTTTAAAACATTTTAATTATTACAGAATTAAAACTAGACATAAACCTATAATTATGTAACAAAAATTAGCTAGATGAAATAAAATGCTCAAAATGCTTCATTTCCTGTTAACTGCATAAAATAATTGTCTTTTCAAAAGGATCTTTTCATTTTAAAAAGCAGCTACAATAATTTCTCTCATGTTGTCGACAATAGTTTTGTAAACACTGTCTTTAACATATCCCCGTAAAAAGCTCAGACTAGATAAAATCAGGAGCATTTAAGTATTTTATTAATTGATGAATCTACACTGCATTCACCAACTAATAGAATCATATTGTTACGGATTCCGTGGGTCCACTAATTTAAACTCACGATAAAATACTTAAACGAATTTATTTTCTCACTTTATACACAATTACTAACTTATAACACACAACAAACTAACTATTTATAAGATTCCTTCACCAAACTGTCCGATTTTCAATTTCCACGCGGTATATTCAAATTTCAAAAACTGTCTCAGTTGTCGATGGCTCCGGCTTATATACTCTATTGACTGCTTCTCGAAATTTCCCCAATTCTCGGAAAGCGTACTTCTTCATACCAGACAATTCCATTGTCTGATTCCCTTTCTTCTCGACTTGACTAAAAGATGGCGCCTGAAAGTCTTTTAATTTCTGGCGGATACGCCATTTTTCTTGACACGTTGCGGTTGTGCACGCAACCAGTAATACATTTTTAATTTCTGGCGGATACGCCATTTTTTGACACGTTGCGGTTGTGCAGGCAACCAGTAATACATTTTAGCCCTTGACCTTGACATTTGCCCCTTCTCAAATTTGATCGTCCCGATCAAGGTTTCCCTGTCTGGTATCTCTTCAATCGATCCAGATGAACTACTTTCATCTTACTTCTAGGGCTGCGTTGAATCCGGTACACAACATCATTTATCCTCTTGATGACTGTATAAGGACCTTCCCATGCTGGAGTTAACTTTGGGGACCTCCCTTTCTTGCGCTGTGGGTTATATAACCATACCATATCGTCCTGTTGAAATCCCGTAGAATTGGCTCTGAGGTCGTAACGAGCTTTCATCCGGTCACTGGCTAGCGTAATCTTACTTCTTACGGCCTTATGAATTTCCATTAACCTTTCCTTCAGTTCATCCGCGTAGTCCTCTACATTTGTGGTGCCGTCGTCTGGTGATCCGAACACCAAGTCACAAGGCAACCGTAATTCTCGACCAAATAAAATCTTCGATGGTGAAAGTCCGGTGGTGTTGTGAACTGCACTTCTATACGCCATTAGGAACAGCGGTATGTGTTGATCCCAATCTCTTTGATGTTCGGCCACCATTTTCGAGAGGTGTTCTTCAATGGTCTTATTGAATCTTTCGACCATCCCATCAGACTGCGGATGTAAAGCTGTTGTCCTAGTCTTGTGAATACCAAGCAGATCACACATCTTCTGGAACAGTCTTGACTCGAAGTTCCTTCCTTGGTCAGTGTGAAGCTCTAAGGGAATTCCAAATCTACTGAAGACATTATTGACCAATACTTCAGCTACAGTCGATGCTTCTTGGTTTGGAATGGCAAAAACTTCTGGCCATTTACTGAAATAATCCATCGCTACTAAAACGTACTTGTTGCCCTTGTGCGTTTCAGGGAATGGGCCTGCAATGTCAACAGCGATTCTTTCGAATGGCAGTCCAACGTTATATTGTTTCATTTTTCCCCTAGAGCGAGTGCTTGGTCCTTGGCTGGCTGCACAAGTTTTACATTGTCGACACCATTTCTTGACATCTTCGCAATAATCCACCCAGTAAAAACGATCTCTCAGCTTGCTCAAGGTCTTGTTTACCCCAAGATGGGCTCCAGTTTTACCACCGTGAATTTCTTCCAATACCTGGGTAACTTTCTTCCTTGGTACCAGTAACTGAGTTGTTACTGTCCTGCCATCCGCACTTTCCCACATGCGCTTTAACAATCCATTCTCAATAACCAGTGAATTCCACTGAGCCCAGAGAGCTTTGAAAACTAGCCCTCTGTCCGCAATATCCTGCCACGGTGGTCTCTCGCCGTTACCTTCCTTGAGCCCTAGTATTGCTCCGATGTCTGGATCTTCCATTTGGTCTTTCCTCAACTGTGCCGTCGTCCACTGTTCATCAGCTCCAAGCTTAAAACTCCTTATCATGACAGTGCCTTCACGTTGTTCCGTTTTACAGCAGTGCTTACAATCGGTTTGACAGGGTCTTCTGGATAAACCGTCTGCGTTACCATGCATCTTCCCAGCACGATGTTGGATGGTAAAGTGATACTGCTGGAGCTTCTCGAGCCATCGTGCTATTTGGCCTTCAGGTTGTTTCATCTCCATAAGCCATTTGAGAGCCGCATGATCTGTCCTAATTAAAAATTCTTGGCCATACAGGTATTTATGAAATGATCAACTGCCTTCACAATTGCTAGCAGCTCCTTCCGGGTAACGCAGTAATTCCTTTCTGGTTTGGATAGAACTCGACTGTAATATTCTATCACTCGTTCTTCGCCATCTTGCACTTGTGATAGCACTGCACCTATGCCGATATTGCTGGCGTCGGTATCCAGGATATACCTCCCTTGTTGTTGCGGGTAGGCTAGAATAGGACTTGAACATAAAGCCGCCTTAAGTCTTCCAAAGGCTACATCACAATCGGTGTTCCATTCGTAGCCGACTTCATCACCTGTAAGTCTATGTAAGGGTGCAGCTATATTGGCAAATCCCTTGACAAATCTTCTGTAATAGGTGCATAAACCCAGAAAACTTCTAAGTTCATGTTTGTCGCGAGTTTAGGCCAATCCTTGATTGCAGCGATTTTCTTCTGGTCAGTGTAAATTCCGTCTGCTGAGACTACATGGCCCAAAAATTCCACTTGTCGCTGGAATAAGCTACACTTCTTCGGGTTCAAGTACAGGTGAGCATTCCGTATGCGGCCGAAGACTTCTTCTAAATTTCGCAAATGCTCCTCAAAAGTTCTTCCCATAACCAATACATCGTCGAGGTAAACCAAGCACGTTTTCCAAGTTAATCCTCTTAACACCACCTCCATGAGACGTTCGAAAGTGGCTGGGGCATTGCATAATCCAAACGGCATGACCTTGAATTGGTATAGTCCGTTTCCTGTAGAAAAAGCCGTCTTTTCTTTGTCTTCCTCGTCCAGACCAACTTGCCAGTATCCACTCTTTAAGTCGAGAGTGGAAAACCAGCACGAACCTGCCAGTGTGGTTAACGTGTCGTCTATACGGGGCAGTGGGTAGCTGTCCTTCTTAGTGACGTCATTGAGCTTCCTATAATCCACGCAGAATCGTGTACTACCATCTTTCTTCGTCACCAAAACAACAGGAGATGACCATGGACTTGATGATTCTTCGATTACTCCATCTTCTAACATCTTATCTACCATTGTCTCCATTTTTCTTGTTGTTTGGAAAGGGCACCCTTCTAGGACGTTGTCGAATCGGCTGAGCATGACCAGTATTAATCCGGTGCTTCACAAAATCCGTTCTTCCACTGTTGTTCTTCTCAAAAATACTGCCATGCTTTAGCAGGAACTTCACAAGCCTTCTGTTTCTCCTCAGGTGTTAGGTGATCCCATGGCTGTTCTAGATGTTTTAGTGTTTCTTGGGATGCCTTTTGTGTAACAGCTGACGACACTTCATCACATCGGGTGACACTTCTTACAGGTTCGCAGATGGCTATCTTGTCACCCTTTTGGATCTTGACACAATTCGGGAACACATTCGCAATTCTGATCGGTATATTCTTGTCGGTGTTCACCAATGATTTTCCTACTAAGTACCTATCTTGTTTCTTGTCGCTACTTTGTACCAGTCCAACACAGCACCCAGCGATTTTCTCCACTTTACCGAATACGATCTTCTCGGTATTACCAGGTATCACCACAGTTTCCGCTGATCTTACATCCATTCTTCCTGGTCCCTCGTCTGGAGATAACATGAACTCTTCATTTCCAATATTTAAGATATTTCTCTGGTGATCGAACGAAAATCCATGTTGACGAATCACATCCATGCCCAAGATGAAGTCATCTTCAATATCTGCCACTAAAACGCTATGCTGGAACTTCAAATTTCCTAACTTCAGTTCGACGATAGCCTCTCCGTACAACGGCCATTTCCCCCGTAAC